GGCTTCTCAGCGAGCGCGCGGGAATGTGACGGCAGCGAGGATATCCGCGCGCTGCAGAACCCATATACAGACACGTCGCAGCTGCGCGTGACTAACATGGTGTACAAAGCTACGTATGCCATAGCGCATGCCATCCACGGTGTTATCTGTACTGACACGCAGTGTGACAAGAGCGCTAAATTCGCACCATGGCAGGTATAAAACTGATACTGATAAAAACAGACCACAAACATTGCCTTGTAATTGAAATAAGCGCAGTGTATTTGTATACATTTTGATAAAACGCCTGTATTAACGCTGCTGAAAAAAACATTGTGTTTCTTTTCGTTGCTAATGGGTTTGTGGTTTGCTTCGGCTTTATATTGGGTTGGTATCACAATGCAAAGGAAGTGCGGTGACCACTGGCTGATTCCAATTGAATTTGAAAGTTTTTCCGAATGGGATCTAAATGTGTTCTACAGGAAACTCGTGGTTTCTATTGTATACCATTAAGACAATTCTCATTAGAAAGCAAAACCATTAGGTGGTGGGTTTCGTAGTGTTTTGGCTTTTTTAATGGGCTAATATCACAATGTAAATGATTGTAATGTTTTAAGAGGTGACCGATGGCTGATTATAAATGCATTTGACAGTTTCCTAATGGTCATAATCGTGATTGTTTCTTATGATGTTTTTCAGCAGGGAAGTATAAGTTTTAGTCTCCATATTGATTTGCTGTTCATTAATAGTGTTTTAGTGATTTATTTAAACATTATATCACAGTTCTGTTCACAGTTTTACATTTCATACCACTACAGATATTAAATCAACTCAAGAGAGTGAACTTCACTACAAAGAATGGGTATCAGGTCACGTTTGACTCCAACGGTGATCCTGTAGCCGTCTATGAGCTCATAAACTGGCAGGTTAACAAAGATGGCTCAATAAATTTTGTCACAGTTGGCCATTATGATTCCTCCAAACCAAGAGGTCAAGAATTCAGTATGAACAGAGCTATCAGCTGGCTGGGGGGTCAGACCAAGGTACACTGCAACACTTAAAATACTAATCTGAGCAGTGCATTGAGACACTTGGACCTTTTTTACATACTATGAAGAGCCTGCATTTGTCTAATGTCTTTTCAGGCGCCAAGATCTGTGTGCAGTGAGAGCTGTCCTCCAGGAACCAGGAAGGCTGTGCAGAAAGGAAAGCCAGTCTGCTGCTATGACTGTATACCATGTGCAGAAGGAGAGATCAGCAACAAGACAGGTTTTGTATTGCTATACAGTAGGTACTTTTGTTGAGGACAGTCATGTTTTGTTTTTTTATTTACTTGTTATTCTGTCTAATATGCTAATATTAGTTAAAATCTAATACTGTTCTGAATATGCCATCTAATTGCATAGACTCTTTGAACTGTGCACAATGTCCTCATGACTTCTGGCCCAATGCCCAGCGAGACAGCTGCCTTCCCAAGCCTTTGGAGTTCCTATCCTGGGACGACACTCTGAGCATCATCTTGACAGCATTCTCCATCACTGGGGCCTTCATAGCTGTATGCGTGACTGCTATTTTCTATAAACACAGAACTTCTCCCATCGTCCGAGCCAACAACTCAGAGCTGAGCTTCCTGCTGCTCTTCTCACTGACTCTGTGTTTCCTCTGCTCACTCACTTTCATTGGTCAGCCCTCTGAGTGGTCCTGTATGCTGCGTCACACAGCGTTTGGGATCACCTTCGTCCTCTGCATCTCCTGTGTTCTGGGGAAAACAATAGTGGTGTTAATGGCCTTCAGAGCTACACTTCCAGGCAGTAATGTCATGAAATGGTTTGGGCCTCCACAGCAGAGACTCAGTGTTCTCGCCTTCACTCTCATACAGGTCATTATTTGTGTTCTTTGGTTGACAATATCTCCTCCTCTCCCCTTCAAAAATCTAAAATACTACAAGGAAAAGATTATCTTAGAATGTGAATTAGGTTCAGCTATAGGTTTCTGGGCTGTGCTGGGTTATATAGGATTTCTCGCACTTGTGTGTTTTATTTTGGCTTTTTTAGCTCGGAAGCTGCCTGATAACTTTAATGAAGCCAAGTTCATCACATTCAGCATGCTCATATTCTGTGCAGTTTGGATCACCTTTATCCCAGCTTATGTCAGCTCTCCTGGAAAGTTCACTGTAGCTGTAGAGATATTTGCAATTCTGGCTTCAAGCTTTGGTTTAATTATTTGTATTTTTGCTCCCAAGTGTTTTATAATCATGTTTAGACCAGAGCAGAATACTAAGAAACACCTTATGGGTAAAGTACCCTCCAAAGCTCTTTGAGAATCTATCATAAATTGTAAAAGTGGAACTACAGTTTAGCACCTTATTTAAAATGTCATGATTTATGATTATGTTTATATCTATAGAGCCGCTGTCTTTTTTATTAATCTATATCTTACGTTGTGATGTGTAAATATTTATAAGTAAGCTTTTCACAGTTACCACTTCATTGCTAATAAATAATAATGTATATAATATGTCTTTAAAATGGTCTTTCAGCACTTCAAGATAAATGGAAACTTGATGATCGTTTTAGAATATATTGCTTATTGCATTCCACATTAAACAAGTAATAAGAGGCATCTATGTAGTTTGGACTTGGTAGGTAGGATGGACATCTCTCTCAACACCGGTCAGTGTGATGCTATCCTATGTAGCATCTGTTAGCTGACAAAATTGGAAGTTTGCATTCTACTTGAGTGCGTTGAGTTACCCATTGGTGGTGCAGTTTAGATGTATAGATGTCAGTTAGTATAAATGGTTGCATCTTTCACAAGAAAGAAAAACCTGATACACCTGAACATCACATTTACCTGTGAAGTTTGAATTGTTCATTGTAAATTCTTGGGCAATAGTATGAAGCTGACCATCTTCTTTCTGCTAAAACTGTCATTTACTCTTCTGTGAAGGCTGTCTATTACATTTGGGAATGTTGCAGGTTTTTGCATTTGTTTATTCACATGGGTATTAGTGAGGTTGGGCACATACTTGGTGTTTTGGACTGCCTTAATGTTCCAGTTTATTCCTAATTTGTTTGCTGGGGTTGTAGTGAGAGCTATATTTAGGTCAGACTAATTCTTTCTGGACTGAATTTTATATACTTCAGCATTTTCATATGTAAAGATGGAAGGGCCTTAACTTTCTGGTCAGTGAGATGCAGAAGTGTACAGTTAGTGCGCTGTGAATACTTTCCTTCATTTAGTTAGTATTTAATTGTCTAAGTTCATTGACTTGAGCAAGCCTTGGCTTCACGTGTCTCAATAGAAGCATGCTTAATGGTTAGTGGTAGTTGCGGGGGGATAACTATATACCTAAAAGCTAACACCTATTTGGATAGCCTATCATACATTTTCTTAGATGCTTATCCTGCATTTGATTTATATTCTAATATTTATCAGTTAAATTTACCAACCTTGACCTAACTGTAACCGTAAACATATGCCCAAAAACCTAACTATCACTTTTGTCCAAACCTAAATCCACAAGTACTAATTCTAAGCCTGCTGAGAATCAATTGCATTACAACAAATAGCTAAATAATGAATTAACCATCAATAGAAACTCTATTGGGGGCTTTTCAAATAAGGTTACCCCATAGCTAGTAGATGGGAATCAGCTTTTACCAGACTGGGGAGGAAAGCTGTGTACAGACAAACATTACATACATTCGTGTTTGTTGAACATCTCTTTTTTAATCCCAGGACATTATTATGGAATTGTTCCCCTCTCCAGCACCTTGAAGAGCACCTGACATAAGAAAATTGGCAGATAGTTTTGACTGAGCTTTCCAATATTTTTGCATAAGGAACAATAAGAAAAGAAAGGGTTCCTGTATATTGGAAGATGTACGTTTGATAAGAGGGAGGTAACCAGGGCAACACTTCACTTGGACAGCACTTGCAAATGCTTTAAAGATGCTTCTTAGATCATTGTATTAGTTATCATTTAGTTTACCCAAAGCCTATCCTTCATATCAACTCAAAAAATAAAACTTTACCTCACTCAGGTGCTTAGCCTAAACTTGGGACTGGTGTAATGTTGGTGTAAAATTGATTTGCACAAACTCGACCTCATAATTTTCAATGGCTCATGGCTGCTTAGATCATAATTTCATGTTTATATATTTAGTCATCTCAATTGACACTTCATTCTTTTTGTTAGAAGACTTTCTTCAGTTTGAAATATTTTGCTAATAATAAATGGTCAAACAGTGGTGCTGAACTTACAGCTCTTGAATATAAACAAGAGGAATGCACAAAAAATTCAACATCTGAATCGCAGTTGAGTAAAACACACCCCTGTTTTGCACATACAGCCCTAAGTGCATATTTCCTGGAAATGATGGGGCTCAGCCTCAATTACATTGTTCAAAACACCTGAGACAAAAAAGTAAAAAAAAAAAAATGCTACATCCATCATTACATTTACTATTCAAGACATAACCACGCCTCCTGATTCTAAGCTCACATCCACAGGGCATCAAAACAAGATGACTATTTAAATAAAGCCACCCTGGCCTTCAGAGGGCAGAACACTACAGAGCATACCATGCAGCTCACTTCGACTTTACTGATGTTTGTGTCAATGCTATCGATAAATGGACTCAGACCAGCAGCAAGTAAAGCTGATCCGGTCAGCTGCAGACTGTGGTCCGAGCCTCAGATGCCTGGTCTTTACATGAAAGGAGATTTTGTGATCGGGGGGATTTTCTCCATTCATTATTATATGATATCAGAGCAGAACACCTACACCAGACAGCCACTACAGCCACAGTGCTCTGGGAGGTCTGTCTGTGAGTGTAGGGAACATTACACAGTGATATTTATAATTGAATTGTCACTTGTTGCAGTCTTGTGCTACTTATTGTGTTAGTGACAGATGCAAATATTAAGCAAAACAGAAAATCTAATTTTGTCTTATTATTGTGTATCTTATGTTTCTAAACAGTATGGATTTCAGGCAGCTGCGCTTCGCCCGTGCCATGGAGTTCACCATCCACGAGATCAACAACAGAACAGATCTCCTGCCGGGAATCACGTTAGGATACCAGATATACGACTCGTGCTCTGCAGTGCCGATGGCTGTTAAAGCTGCATCACTGTTGGCAAACGGCATGGAACCATTTTTCAATTACAATAGCCTCTGTCAAAATTCTGCAGCCGCCGCTGTTCCTGCTCTCGTGGGAGATTCTCCTTCCACCCCTTCAATTAGCATAGCCAGAATGCTGGGTCTTTTTGGAATTCCACAGGTGATTGTAATCTACAACGGTGAAGGATTCAAAATCTGTCTTGTTGCTGTTTGTGACGAAAAAAAAGTGATTTTACAATTTAATATAAAAAGTTATGTCCAAGGTTTTATGCGTGAAGTAGATCAAGAGCCGTATCAAATAGCATGCAAAAGTGATATAATTTAACCACGTTTCTCAAATGACGTTTTCCCCTTTTCTGTACTGATTAACAGGTGAGTTACTACTCAACCTGCGCATGTCTGAGCGATAAGCGGCAGTATCCTGCTTTTCTCAGGACTGTGCCTAGTGACCTCCACCAAGCGGCCGCACTAGCAAAAATGGTCAAGCATTTTGGCTGGACCTGGATTGGGGCAGTGCGCAGTGACTCAGACTATGGAAATTATGGAATGGCGTCTTTTCTAAAGGCTGCGCAAGAGGAGGGCATCTGTGTGGAGTACTCCGAGTCCTACTACAGAACACAACCGCGCAGTAAACTGGAGAGAGTGGCAAACGTCATCCGCAGATCAACAGCCCGGGTAATAGTAGCGTTTCTGCACTCAGGAGATATGAGGTTTCTGTTGGAGGAACTTGCCAGACAGCCGCCGCCTCCCCTTCAGTGGATCGGCAGCGAAACGTGGATCATAGATCCAGAGTTTCTGCGCTTTAACATGTGCGCTGGGGCGATAGGATTTGGGGTCCCCCGCTCAGTGATTCCAGGTCTTCGTGAGTTTCTTCTGGATCTCTCTCCAGCACAAGCACTGAAATCGCCTCTGCTAACGGAGTTTTGGGAGCGCTCGTTCAGCTGTAGCCTGAAAGGCTCCTCAGAAGGCGCGAGAGAATGTGACGGCAGTGAGGATATCCGCGCGCTGCAGAACCCATATACAGACACGTCGCAGCTGCGCATCACTAACATGGTGTACAAAGCTACGTATGCCATAGCGCATGCCATCCACGGTGTTATCTGTAAGGACACGCAGTGCGACAAGAGCGCTAAATTTGCACCATGGCAGGTATGAAACTGCATTATTCAAAAACGTGTCCATAAATTGCCTTGTAATTGAAATAAGCGCAGTATTTTTGTATAGTATAATTTAGGGTTTGTAACGTGTTTTGGCTGTATAAATAGGTTCATATCACAATGAAAAGGATCTGAATGGTTTAACTGGTGACCAATGGCTGATTCTAAATGCATCTGACGAATGGGATATATAGGTGTTCTACAGAAAACTAGTGGTGTCTACTGGAAACCATTAAGTCAATTCCCATTACAAAGCAAAATGTTTATTCATAATGATTTCTAATAGTATTTTCTTCAGCCGGAAAGTATATGAAAATTAATTCACAGTTCCTTTAACAATTTTTTTAAATGATTCAACTACAGATGCTGGACCAAGTCAAAAAAGTTAACTTTGCTACAAAGAATGGTTTTCGGGTCACGTTTGACTCCAACGGTGATCCTGTAGCTGTCTACGAGCTCATAAACTGGCAGTTTAAGAAAGATGGCTCTATAGATTTCATTACAGTGGGCCATTATGACTCATCGAAACCAAGAGGTCAAGAGTTCAGTATGAGCAGAGCTATCAGCTGGCTAGGAGGAAAAGCCGAGGTACACTATAACACATCCAGAGCTGTTTGACTAGAGCAAGAAATACATTAATCTGTGCATGGTAGTATGACCTATGTCTTTCAGGTGCCAAGATCTGTGTGCAGTGAGAGCTGTCCCCCAGGAACCAGGAAGGCTGTGCAGAAAGGAAAGCCAGTCTGCTGCTATGACTGTATACCATGTGCAGAAGGAGAGATCAGTAACAATACAGGTTGTGTATCAGTTTACTGGCATCTTTACTGGGGAAAGTCATGTTTTGTCCTTTTTCTTTCCTTTGTGATTCTGTTTTTTTTTATTATTATTATTTCTTACCTTGTAATTTAATATTACTTAAAATCTAATAAGGTTCCAAATGTGCTTTTCTAATCTCATAGACTCTTTGAACTGTGCACAATGTCATCCTGAATTCTGGCCCAACACCCAGCGAGACAGATGCCTTCCTAAGCCTGTGGAGTTTCTGTCCTGGGACGACACTCTGAGCATCATCCTGACAGCATTCTCCATCTCTGGGGCCTTCATAGCTGTATGTGTGGCTGCTGTCTTCTACAAACACAGAAGTTCTCCATCGTCCGAGCCAACAACTCAGAGCTGACCTTCCTGCTGCTCTTCTCACTGACTCTGTGTTTCCTCTGTTCACTCACTTTCATTGGTCAGCCCTCTGAGTGGTCCTGTATGCTGCGCCACACAGCGTTTGGGATCACCTTCGTCCTCTGCATCTCCTGTGTTCTTGGGAAAACAATAGTGGTGTTAATGGCCTTCAGAGCTACACTTCCAGGCAGTGATGTCATGAAATGGTTTGGGCCTCCACAGCAGAGACTCAGTGTTCTTGCTTTCACTCTCATACAGGTCATTATTTGTGTACTTTGGTTGACAATATCACCTCCTTTCCCCTTTAAAAATCTAAAACACTACAAGGAAAAGATTATCTTAGAATGTGAATTAGGTTCAGCTATAGGTTTCTGGGCTGTGCTGGGTTATATAGGATTTCTGGCTCTTTTGTGTTTTATTTTGGCTTTTCTAGCACGGAAGCTGCCTGATAATTTTAATGAAGCCAAGTTCATCACATTCAGCATGCTCATATTCTGTGCAGTTTGGATCACCTTTATCCCAGCTTATGTCAGCTCTCCTGGAAAGTTCACTGTAGCTGTAGAGATATTTGCTATTCTGGCCTCAAGCTTTGGTTTGATTATTTGTATTTTTGTTCCCAAGTGTTTCATAATCATGTTCAGGCCAGAACAGAATACCAAGAAACACCTTATGGGTAAAGTACCCTCCAAGGCTCTTTGAGACTCTAAAGAGTTTCTCACACAAATTGTATATGTAGCACAATGATCAGTCTCATATTTACATTGCAGCTTCACTAACACATCTTTTTAAACTGTATTTTGTGTTGTAAAGTGTAAATATGTATAAATAAGTTTTTCACATGTGTTTGTTAACTGATAATAAATACTAATATACATAGCTAAATTAAATTTAATCTATACAGTGATCTTTCAACACTTTCAGGTAATTCGTCTACAGCAAAATGGAATCCTGTTGACCTTTTTTTGGAAATACAAGCAATAATAAAATAATGAGTAAGGGGAACAATTAAGTAAAAAAGGGCTTCTATAGAATTAGGACTTGGTGAGTAGAATGGCCATCTCTCTCCCCATCATTCAGCACAATGCTACTCTATGCAGTATCTGATAATTAAGGTAACAGAACTGGCATTTTGCGTTCTTCTCAACTATGTTGATCTGTCCAATGACACAGTGTTAGTGACAGTTAGAATAGACGTGTCTTTTACAAGGTGTGAAAAACTTGGTACACCCAAACTTTATATGTGCATTTTGAGCATCTTATTTTGAATCCTTGGGCACTATTGTTAAATTGACCCCCTCTTTTCTACAGTGACAGACATCTACTATTCTAAGAAGACTTTCCCATAGTTTTTAGAAAATTGCGGGCATTTGGTTCTTATCAGTCACAAGAGTGTTAGTGAGGTTGGGCACAGGTTGCATGATTAGGCCTGGCTTTGTGTTCCAATTTATTCCTGAGGTGTTTAATGGGCTTGAAATCAGAGCTATATGCAGGTCAAAGTCTTTATGGACCTAAATTTATGCATTTGAGCATAACTCGGAGTTTGTTCCCATAATGCAGCTTTATTTAAACTAAACTAAACTAGGCACAAAGTACAAGGAGGGAAACAATAGCTCTCTGCTTAGCTCACTTCTCTTCTCTTAGCTCACTTTGTTTAACTTAACACACACAGCCTGTGCGGAATACAAGCCCCATCCTTCAGAATATGAGTGTCCACAGCAGAATAAACCCAGTAAATTAATGCAGAAGAAAACACAACCTAAATCTTTTGGGTGCTTTCCCAATAAAGTGACTCCATAACTAGTGGATGGGAATCAGCCTTGACCAAACTGGGGAGAAAAGCTGGGTACACTCATACATTACCTCCCTAAGTGCTTGTTGAACATCCCATTGTGAATCCCTCTTCATTATAATGGAACTGGTCCTCTCTCCAGCACCTTGAAGAGCATCAGACGTAACAGAATTAGCAGTCAGTGATTAATGAACTGTCTAATAGTGTTGCATCAGGAGCAGTTAGAAAAGACGTGGCTTCATGTGCCACATGTCTTGAAAGAAGCATAGGATATTTGAATTGAGGGGGTAGCTGGGCAACAGGGTTATTTGAACTGCTTGCTGTTGGTGGTTCATAGATCATCATCTTGCATTTAACTTATATTCTATTAAATATCTATTATATTCATCTTAATTTACCATACACTAACCTTAATATGACCTAAACACCTAAAACTAATTCTCACTCTAGTCTTTAGCCTAAACCTGGTGTTAATACTAACCCTAGTTTGAAATTAGAGTAAAGGTAAAATTGTGTGGTCACAAGAAGTAAATAAACAGTGGTGCCGGACTTAATAAAACTCAACCTCATAATTCTCAATGGATCTTAATTGTTTACTTTTCTATTTCATATTTATATATTTAGGTTTGATCTTTAAATGCATTTTGTTGTTTTTGTTTGTATTTTACACTGGCCAAGGACAATCTTTAATTTGAAAAATTATGGTCATAATAAATGGTCATATAGCTGTTAGAAAATACCAAGAGACATGTGCAAAAATTCAAAGTCTGAGCTGTTTTGCACAAAAACGCCCTAAGTGCATATTTTCTGGAAATTATAAGGCCTGCAGTTTCTTTAGCTCAGCCAAAATTACATCATTCAATACAGCAAAAACAAATAAATACAAACTTTATGTCCATCACTATAGTTACTGTTCAAGAAATAACCACACCTCCTGAGTCTGAGCTCACACCCACAGGGCATCAAAACAAGGTGGCTATTTAAAGGCAGTCTACCTGGGCCTCAGAGGGCTGGGCACTACTAAGCATACCATGCAGCTCACTTTGATTTCAGTGATGTTTATATCAATGCTGTGGATACATGGGCTCAGACCATGTGAAGCTGACCAGATCAGCTGCAGACTGTGGGCTGAGCCTCAGATGCCTGGTCTGTATGTGAAAGGAGATTTTTTGATTGGGGGGATTTTCTCTATTCATTACTACACGAGATCAGAGCAGAACAGCTACACCAGACCGCCACTACAGCCACAGTGCTCTGGCAGGTCTGTCTGTGAGCGTGTAGTCAACAGTGGAAGAGAGTTACAAAGTGATCTTTATAATCAAATTGTAACGTTTTGTAGTCATGCGCTACTTACTGTGTTAGTGACAGATGCAAATACTAACGGAAACAACAGAAACTTTCATTCTGTCTATTTTTTCTGTATTTTCTGTTTCCTATGTTTCTAAACAGCATGGATTTCAGAGAACTGCGCTACGCTCGTGCCATGGAGTTCACCATCCAAGAGATCAACAACAGAACAGATCTCCTGCCGGGAATCACGTTAGGATACCAGATATATGACTCGTGCGCTGCAGTGCCGATGGCTATTAAAGTTGCATTTCAGTTTACAAACGGCATGGAACCATTTATCAATGATACTGATTCCTGTTCAAAATCTGCAGCCGCCGCTGTTCCTGCTCTCGTGGGAGAATCTGCTTCCACCCCCTCAATAAGCATGGCCAGAATACTGGGTCTTTTTGGAATTCCACAGGTGAATGTAGGCTGCACCGAAAAATGGTGTGATAGAGCAATGATTTTAAAATGAGGTCAATAACAGTCTAATATACTAAGTTAAGCTTTATACGTTTAGTAGTGGAACAACAATATCACCCATAAATGAGCGCTAGAATTTCTAGAGGTTTTTGAAATAATGTTTTCTCCCCTTTTTTAAACCGAAAAACAGATAAGCAACTACGCAACCTGCGCATGTCTGAGCGATAAGCGGCAGTATCCTGCCTTCTTCAGGACCGTACCTAGTGACCACCACCAAGCGGCCGCACTAGCAAAAATGGTCAAGCATTTTGGCTGGACCTGGATTGGGGCAGTGCGCAGTGACTCAGACTATGGAAATTATGGAATGGCGTCGTTTCTAAAGGCTGCTCAAGAGGAGGGCATCTGTGTGGAGTACTCCGAGTCCTACTACAGAACACAACCGCGCAGTAAACTGGAGAGAGTGGCAAACGTCATCCGCAGATCAACAGCCCGGGTAATAGTAGCGTTTCTTGCCTCAGGCGAAATGAGAGTTCTCTTAGAAGAACTTGCAAGACAGCCGCCGCCTCCACTTCAGTGGATCGGCAGCGAAACGTGGATCATAGATCCAGAATTTCTGCGCTTTAACATGTGCGCGGGGGCGATAGGATTTGGGGTCCCCCGCTCAGTGATTCCAGGTCTTCGTGAGTTTCTTCTGGATCTCTCTCCAGCACAGGCATCAAAAACGCCTCTGCTAACGGAGTTTTGGGAGCGCTCCTTTAGCTGTAGCCTAAAAGGTCAGACAGACTTCTCAGGGGGCGCGCGGGAATGTGACGGCAGTGAAGACATCCGCGCGCTGCACAACCCATATACAGACACGTCGCAGCTGCGCATCACTAACATGGTGTACAAAGCTACGTATGCCATAGCGCATGCCATCCACGGTGTTATCTGTAAGGACACGCAGTGCGACAAGAGCGCTAAATCCACACCATGGCAGGTATAAAACTGATATATTTAAAAACAGACCACTAACTTTCCCTGTTATTGAAATAAGCACGATATTTTTGTAGTAGTTGTATTAACACACTTAAATGATGTATATGAATGAAGTATTCACTATATTTACTTGGTGTTCATTAACAGTGTTTTAATAATTCATTTGCACATTACTAAATCTCTAGTTCCATTCACAGTTTTGAAAATTATTCCACTCCAGATACTCGACCAGCTCAAAAGAGTGAATTTTACTACAAAGAATGGTTATCAGGTCACGTTTGACTCCAACGGTGATCCTGTAGCCGTCTACGAGCTCATAAACTGGCAGGTTAAAAAAGATGGCTCTATAGATTTTGTCACAGTCGGCCGTTATGACTCCTCCAAACCAAGAGGTCAAGAATTCAGTATGAGCAGAGCTATCAGCTGGCTGGGAGGACAGACTGAGGTACACTATAACACATCCAGAACTGTTTGACTAGAGCAAGAAATACATTAATATATGCATTTCTTTTTGTATTTTTTACAGATTCTGAATGATTTGTTTCTGTCTTTTGTTTTTCAGGTGCCAAGATCTGTGTGCAGTGAGAGCTGTCCTCCAGGGACCAGGAAGGCTGTGCAGAAAGGAAAGCCAGTCTGCTGCTATGACTGTATACCATGCGCAGAGGGAGAGATCAGTAACAAGACGGGTTCAGTATCAGTTTACTGTGGGCATTTTTGCAGGGGACAGTCATGGTTTGTTTTTTATTTTTTTCATTCCCTTCTGGTTCTTTCTAATGTAAGGTTCTGAATATACTTTTCTAATCTCATAGACTCTTTGAACTGTGCACAATGTCCTCCTGAATTCTGGCCCAATGCCCAGCAAAACAGATGCCTCCCCAAGCCTGTGGAGTTCCTGTCCTGGGACGACACTTTGAGCATTACCCTGACAGTGTTCTCCATCGCTGGGGCTTTCATATCTGTATGTGTGGCTGCTGTCTTCTACAAACACAGAAGTTCTCCTATTGTCAGAGCCAACAACTCAGAGCTGAGCTTCCTGCTGCTCTTCTCATTGACTCTGTGTTTCCTCTGCTCACTTACTTTCATTGGTCAGCCCTCTGATTGGTCCTGTATGCTGCGCCACACAGCGTTTGGGATCACCTTCGTCCTCTGCATCTCCTGTGTTCTGGGGAAAACAATAGTGGTGTTAATGGCCTTCAGAGCTACACTTCCAGGCAGTGATGTCATGAAATGGTTTGGGCCTCCACAGCAGAGACTCAGTGTTCTCACCTTCACTCTCATACAGGTCCTTATCTGTGTGCTTTGGTTGACAATATCACCGCCTTTTCCCTTCAAAAATCTAAAACACTACAAGGAAAAGATTATCTTAGAATGTGAATTAGGTTCAGCTATAGGTTTCTGGACTGTGCTTGGTTATATAGGATTTCTGGCTCTTTTGTGTTTTATTTTGGCTTTTCTAGCACGGAAGCTGCCTGATAACTTTAATGAAGCCAAGTTCATCACATTCAGCATGCTCATATTCTGTGCAGTTTGGGTTACCTTTATCCCAGCTTATGTCAGCTCTCCTGGAAAGTTCACTGTAGCTGTAGAGATATTTGCTATTTTGGCTTCAAGCTTTGGTCTCATTACTTGTATTTTTGCTCCCAAGTGTTTCATAATCATGTTTAGGCCAGAGCAGAATACCAAGAAACACCTTATGGGTAAAGTACCCTCCAAGTCTCTCTGAGACAAATTCTATACATAGCACTATGGCAAAGCATCTAATATATATAATGTACTGATTTCTGATTATATATTGGTATATTGGTTTATATGTACATTGCAGCTTTGCTTATCATCTTTTTAACTTAACTGCTTTTTATGTTGTATTGTTGTAATGTGTATATATGTATAAGTAAGCTTTTCACATGTATGTCTTAATTGATAATAAACATTCATGTATTAAGCCAATTAAACTGAATTATCTAAACAGTGGTCTTTCCACACTTTTAGGTAATTCTTCTACAACAAATGGAATCCTGTTCATCTTTTTCCAAATTACATGGAATATTAAATATTATATGCAGATCAATCAAAGTCTTTATGGACCTGATTTTGTGCATTTGAGCATTGTCATATGTAAACAGGGAAAGACTTTACCTATCTGTCCAGTGAGATCCAGACATGTACAATTAGTGATCTGTGAATGCTTTCCTCGATTTAGTTTTTATTCCCAGTTAAATAAGATGTGGCTTCACATTTCTCAGTAGAAGCTTGTGTGATGGTTTTTGATTGTGGTGATGGTGGGGAGGGGAGGATACCTAAGATAACACTCATTTGGATGTCCCACTGTAAATTCTTCTTAGACGCTTATCTTACATTTTATTTACAGTCTACTCAAGCCCTCACCTTAACTTCAAATACCTCTCCCTCACTCTGGTCCTAAGCCTAAACCTGTTACTAATACTGTGGTGTGGTTCTCAGAGTGAGCTTACACAACTCGGATGCAGCTTTATTTAAACTAAACTAGGCACAAAGTTCAAGGAGGAAAAAATAGCTCTCTGCTTAGCTCACTTCTCTACTCTTAGCTCACTAACTCTGCTTACTTCACACACATACCCTGGGTAGAATACAAGCCCCACCCTCCAGAATAGGATTCCATAGCAGAATAAACCTAGTGAATAAATTCAGAAGGAAACACAACCTAAAATTATCATGTAAAAACTGTCTCAGGATGGTCAGGGAGTGGACCCAAGAGCAGTGAGGACGCGTTTTAAAACAGATAAATGAAAACGATATAAAAATAGACTTATTTATTCATGTAGCTTAGAGCAGTGCTTTGTTATCTGCTCTTTGTTTGTTTTCTCTTTTACCCTTCTCATCTTTTTTTCTTTCTTTTTGTTTTTATACCCACCTGGGCTAAGTACCATACCGGTCACCTTTCAGCAAAGGTGTGACAAGGGTGAGCTGTCTGCCACGGGCTTAGATGCTGGTACCAACAGATACGCCTGGTTGGCACTGATTACCCCTTGGTATTCTAGGATTTTGAATCTCCCGGACTAGCAGTGCCTCACCACCATTACCTTCTGCTGGCAGCTGGCAGCACAGGCTGAACCTTTACAGGATCTCTTCTCCTAGTGATGGCCCCAGAAGTCCCCAGGCCTACAGCACGTGCTCGCCAGAACTCCCAGAAGAGTTTCTGGTCCAAAATGTGGCATGCAGGAACCCACGATTGCTCCTTGGTTCCGTAGTCTTGCCAGTCCACCGGGTACTGGGTGCCACCCTGCACCTGGCGGCAGTCCAGTAGGCAGTGACCCATGCATGGCAGGGAACCATCAATAAGACAAGGTGCAGGGGGCTGGGCTGGACGAGCTTCCATACTACAGAGGAATGGCCGGAGATGAGAGACGTTGAAATCGGGGTGGATCCGAACAGAAAGCGGGAGACGCAACTGGTAGGTGACCAGGTTAATACGCCTTTTACCTTAAACGGCAGCCGTGGTGCCAATGTTTTTGGATTTCACCCGGAGAAGGAGGTCCTTTGTGGACAGCCAGACTCGTGGGATGCTAGTTCTCTTGCAGTCAGCTACATGTTTCCTGGCCTCAGTTGTGGTCAGTAGCGATGCACAGGCCTTGTGCCATGCCCTCCGGCAACACTTTATAAATTGTTCAGCGGGATGGACCCCAACCTCAAGCTCTTGTTCAGTAAACATGGGTGGAGGGAACCCAAACTGGCATTCAAAAGGTGACATTCCCAGAGACAAATTCCAGAGTGTGTTATAGGCATATTCTGCCAAAGGCAGATGGTCCACAGAGTCCGGGTAAGGTCCTGATTGACCCTCTCAGTTTGGTCATAAGCTGGCAGAAGACCTTACAGAAGCGACTAGTGAACTGGGGTCCCCGGTCTGACACCAGATCTCTAGGCATCCCATGTACCCTGACCATGTATTGTAACAAGAGTTCTGCTGTCTCTATGGTGGACGGAAGCTTGGCCAGTGCTATGAACTTGCACACCTTGGAGAAGTGGTCAACAAAGACTAGGATGACTGTGTTGCCCTTGGATCAGGGCAAGCCAGTGATAAAGTCCAGAGAGACATGGGACCCCATGAGACATGGATGTGCAGGGATAGGCAAAGGATGGAGGAGACCTTGGGGCCATGACCTGGGTGCCTTGTTGCGAGCTCATACCTCACATGAAGCAATGAAGGCACAGAGGTCCTTCTCCATACTAGGCCACCAAAAACATCTGCGCAAAAATTCCAGGGTCCTTGTCACCCCTAGGTGCCCTGAAAAGGGGAGGCATGCCCCCAGGACATAACTTGTTTTCTCACCTCCATGGGAATGTACATGTTACCAGGAGGGCTACCCCCTGGATCCAGATCTAGTCAGAGTGCCTCCTGGATAGAACATCTCATTGTGAATCCCTTTTCATTATAACGGAACTGGTCCCCTCTCCAGCATCTTGAAAAGCGTCTGACATAACAGAATTAACAGGTAGTGATTAATGAACTGTCCAGGAATGTTGCATCAGGAGCAGTTAGAAAAGATATGGCTGTATGTGTCACGTGTCTTGAAAGAAGCATAGGCTATTTGAATGGGGGGGGGGTAGCTGGGTAACAGGTTATTGGAACAGCTTGCTGTAAATGATTCAATTAATTTACCCATAACCTTAACTCATAACCCTCTCCTTACTCTCTACTAAAAACCTAAAATTTACTTTCACTTTGGTCTTCAGCCTAAACCTGGTACTAATACTAACCCTAACCCTTGTTTGAAATTAGAGTAAGGGTAAAATTGTGTGGTCATAAGATATGATCAAACAGTGGTGCTGGACTTAATACAGCTCTTCATGTAAGTGGATATTGTGCAAAAAAAATGCACAAGTTCTGAGCCATGTTGTTTTGCACAAACTTTACCTCATGATTATCAGTGGCTCATAATTGCTTACTTCATAATTTCATATTTTTCTGTTTAGGTGTTATCTTAAAAAGGTATTTCTTTGTTTGTTGTGTGTAATGTCCATTAGCCATATATAATGTGTACTTTGAAATATTGTGATAATAGCACATGGTTAAACAGTGGTGCCAGACTTAATAAAGCTGAATAAAACAAAGAGAAAAGCACAAAAATTCAAAGTCTGTTTAGTCTAGTCTGGTTAATTATGCCCCTGTTTTGCGTTAATGACCCTAAGGGCATATTTCCTGGAAATGATGAGGCCTGTAGGTACGTTAGCTCAGCCTCAATTACACCATTCAAAACACCTCCTGAGTCTGCGCTCACACCCACAGGGCATCAAAACAAGGTGGCTATTTAAAGGAATACCTGGCCTTCAGAGGGCTGGGCACTACTGAGCATACCATGCAGCTCGCTTCAACTTTAATGATGTTTGTATTATTGCTGTGGATAATTGGACAAGCAGCATGTAAAGCTAATCCAGTCAGATGTAGACTGTGGGCTGAGCCTCAGATGCCTGGTCTTTATATGAATGGAGATTTTGTGACTGGGGGGATTTTCGCCATTCATTACAACCTGAGATCAGAGCAGAACATCTACACCAAACCGCCACTACAGCCACAGTGCTCTGGCAGGTCTGTCTGTGAGTGTAGGGACCATTACAAAGTGATCTTTATGACCAATTGTCACTTTTTGCAGTCATGCGCTACTTACTGTGTTAGTGACAGTTGCAAATACTAACTTAAAAAACAGAAACTCTCATTTTGTCTTGTGTATCTTATGTTTCTAAACAGTATCGATTTCATCCAACTGCACTTCGCCCGTGCCATGGAGTTCACCATCCACGAGATCAACAACAGAACAGATCTCCTGCCGGGAATCACGTTAGGCTACCAGATCCACGACTCGTGCGCTGCAGTGCTGATGGCTGTTAAAGTTGCATTTCAGTTTGTAAACGGCATGGAACCATTTTTCAACGACACTGATTCCTGTTCAAAATCTGCAGCCGCCGCTGTTCCTGCTGTGGTGGGAGAGTCTAATTCCTCCCCCTCAATGAGCATGACCAGAATGCTGGGTCTTTTTGGAATTCCACAGGTGATTGTAATCTATCCCGAATGGTGTAGTATTAAAAATCCTGCTTCTTACTGCTGGTAATATATCAATGATTTTAAAATGTTGCCAAAGAGAGTTTAATATACTAAGTTATGTTCTATGTTTTATGCGTTCAGTAGTTAAATAACCGTATCAAATCCCATACACAAGCGGCAGAATTAAGCCACGCTTCTCAAATGACGTTTTCCCCTTTTTTATACTGAATAACAGGTGAGTTACTACGCAACCTGCGCATGTCTGAGCGATAAGCGGCAGTATCCTGCCTTCCTCAGGACCGTGCCTAGTGACCACCACCAAGCGGCCGCACTAGCAAAAATAGTCAAGCATTTTGGCTGGACATGGATTGGGGCAGTGCGGAGCGACACAGACTATGGAAATTATGGAATGGCGTCGTTTCTAAAGGCTGCGCAGGAGGAGGGCATCTGTGTGGAGTACTCCGAGGTGTTTTACAGAACAGATCCGCGCAGTAAACTGGAGAGAGTGGCAAACGTCATCCGCAGATCAACAGCCCGGGTAATAGTAGCGTTTCTTGCCTCAGGCGAAATGAGAGTTCTCTTAGAAGAACTTGCAAGACAGCCGCCGCCTCCCCTTCAGTGGATCGGCAGTGAAGCGTGGATCATAGATCCAGAGTTTCGAAAATATAACATGTGCGCTGGGGCGATAGGATTTGGGTTCCCCCGCTCAGTGATTCCAGGTCTTCGTGAGTTTCTTCTGGATCTCTCTCCAGAACAAGCACTGAAATCGCCTCTGCTAACGGAGTTTTGGGAGAGCTCGTTTATCTGTAGCCTGAAAGGCTCCTCAGAGGGCGCGCGGGAATGTGACGGCAGCGAGGATATCCGTGCGCTGCAGAACCCATATGTTGACACCTCCCAGCTGCGCATGACTAACCTGGTGTACAAAGCTACGTATGCCATAGCGAATGCCATCCACGGTGTTATCTGTAATGACACGCAGTGTGACAAGAGCGCTAAATTCACACCATGGCAGGTATAAAACTAATACATTTAAAAACAGACCACTAGCCTCTATTTAAAATAAGCACGATATTTTTGGATAAGTTGTATTAACACGTCTATATCATGTATATGAATCATTAGTCACTATATTTAATTCTTTTTCAATAATAGTGTTTTAATAATTTATTTCAACATTACTAAATGTATAGTTCCGTTCAGTTTTGAAAATTGTTCCACTGCAGATACTCGACCAGCTCAAGAGAGTGAACTTCACTACAAAGAATGGTTTTCAGGTCATGTTTGACCCCAACGGTGATCCTATAGCCGTCTATGAGCTCATAAACTGGCAGGTTAACCTAGATGACTCAATAGATTTTGTCACAGTTGGTCATTATGACTCATCCAAACCAAGAGGTCAAGAATTCAGTATGAGCAGGGCTATCAGCTGGCTGGGGGGACAGACCGAGGTACAGTATAACACCTCCAGAATTGTTTGACTAGAGCAAGAAAAACATTAATATATGCATTTCCTTATGTTTTTTTCACATACTATGAATGATTTGCTTTTGTCTTTTGTCTTTCAGGTGCCAAGGTCTGTGTGCAGTGAGAGCTGTCCTCCAGGAACCAGGAAGGCTGTGCAGAAAGGAAAGCCAGTCTGCTGCTATGACTGTATACCATGTACAGAAGGAGAGATCAGTAACAAGACAGGTTGTGTATCAGTTTACTGTGGGCACTTTTGCAGGGGACAGTCATGGTTTGTTTTTTATTTTTTTTATTCCCTTCTGGTTCTTTTTTAACATATGGTTCTGAATATACTTTTCTAATCTCATAGACTCTTTGAACTGTGCGCACTGTCCTCCTGAATTCTGGCCCAATGCCCAGCAAAACAGATGCCTCCCCAAGCCTGTGGAGTTCCTGTCCTGGGACGACACTCTGAGCATCATCCTGACAGTGTTCTCCATCACTGGGGCTTTCATATCTGTATGTGTGGCTGCTGTCTTCTACAAACATAGAGCTTCTCCAATCGTCCGAGCCAACAACTCTGAGCTGAGCTTCCTGCTGCTCTTCTCATTGGCTCTGTGTTTCCTCTGTTCACTCACTTTCATTGGTCAGCCCTCTGAGTGGTCCTGTATGCTGCGCCACACAACGTTTGGGATCACCTTCGTCCTCTGCATCTCCTGTGTTCTTGGGAAAACAATAGTGGTGTTAATGGCCTTCAGAGCTACACTTCCAGGCAGTGATGTCATGAAATGGTTTGGGCCTCCACAGCAGAGACTCAGTGTTCTTGCTTTCACTCTCATACAGGTCCTTATTTGTGTGCTTTGGTTGACAATATCTCCTCCTTTTCCCTTCAAAAATCTAAAATACTACAAGGAAAAGATTATCTTAGAATGTGAATTAGGTTCAGCTATAGGTTTCTGGGCTGTGCTGGGTTATATAGGATTTCTGGCTCTTTTGTGTTTTATTTTGGCTTTTCTAGCACGGAAGCTGCCTGATAAATTTAATGAGGCCAAGTTCATCACATTCAGCATGCTCATATTCTGTGCAGTGTGGATCACCTTTATCCCAGCTTATGTCAGCTCTCCTGGAAAGTTCACTGTAGCTGTAGAGATATTTGCTATTCTGGCCTCAAGTTTTGGTTTGATTACTTGTATTTTTGTTCCCAAGTGTTTCATAATCATGTTTAGGCCAGAGAAGAATACCAAGAAACACCTTATGGGTAAAGTACCCTCCAAGTCTCTTTGAGACCGTTACACAAATTGTACATGTCACATTATGGCTTAGCACCTTATATAAAATGTGCTTTTTATATGTACATAACTTCACTAATACATCTTTTTAATTAAACTGCTTTAATCTATGTTTTAATAAAACAAATTTTTATGTTGTAATGTGTAAACATCTTTAAATAAGCTTTTTGCATGTATCACTTAACAGAAACTAAGTAATAATATATAATGTCAAATCACACTGAATTGTCAATAAATCTGCCTTTCAGCACTTTTAGATATTACTTCAATATCAAAATGAAATCCTTATGATCGTTTTGAGAATACATTTCTTAATATGTGATTATTTACTATTACCCTAACATCACCTCTGTTAACAGGTTTATTAAGATCAATGTTCAAGTACACTAAAATACTACATAATCAAAACAATCAATAGAAACAGAGCTTCTGCCCACTGAAAACTGGCCCATTTAATAACTACAGGTCTATCTATGGTAGTTGTCCCATATTTTCACAATGAATAACAGCAGATTTATAGCCAATTCTGTTTCGGTTCTTATGAGTCGTTTCCTGCATTACTTGTAAGAAGAATTGTTCAATATCTTGGGGGAAACAACCTGTAGATAGTGTAAAGGTTCTAGGAAGAACCCTTAAATTAGTACTAAATATTGATATTACATTAACATTCACAAATCTATTTATAAAACAGTTTTCTAGGGAGCCAAAACACGTTATTCTTTGTGTAATTTTTCTTCTCTTAAAAGGTATTTCTATATATCACATTTATTCACAAGAACATATAAATGAGGCTTATATGTTTTTTTATGGCTTATCTTAGATATGTAGAGCTTTACTGACCCCTGGCTGCTGTGTTTGTGGAAAACAGGCAGTAGCATGTTTTTGTTATATAAGAATGATGGGCATAATTACATTAGATGGCATTAGTATGTGGACACTCAAGCATATTATCTGTATACGTTGGTTGAACATCTCCTTCCAAAAACATTGGCATTACTATGTGATGTTAAACTTTGATGTTTGCTGCAGTAATTGCATTCATCTTTGAATCATGGCTGCTTTGATTTGCTTCTATTTAGCCACAAGAGCATTAGTGAGGTTGGTATCTGACGTTGGCTCACAGTCAGCATTCCAATTCATTCCTAAAGTGCTTGATGGGGTTGAGGTCAAAGCTACAAGGTTGTGCTAGTCAGCCAGTCTTCCACACTAAACTTGGCAAATTATTACTTCATGGGCCTGATATTGTGCACTGAAGCACTCTTATACTGAAATTGGGTAAAGCCCTCACCCATCTTTTCAGTGAGATCCATACAGTCTACAGCCAGCAAACTGCAAACATTACCCTCCATCCATTCTGAATGTGTAAAGCAAAGATATTGTGATATCAGCACCCTGGACAGTGTCTGGCTTGGGGTGCTGTATTTTTCTAGGAGAATGCTGGTTCCAGTGACCATCATTAAAACCACTGTTGAGAGAGGTTTTAGAGAGGTCTATACAAGTTTTTATTGCGGCAGCTGCCACTTGCTCAGGTTCACAGAAGGGGTTTTATAGGCATGGTATGCAGAGTTGCGCTGTGTGTACCTCTTACCCCTCTTTGAAGAGGCGTTAAATGTTGTTGTTCATCAGTGAAAGATGTGATTACGTGTTTATTGTGTCATTTAGTACTGGTCAGTGGGGTTAGTTAGCGGGTTTGTTTTCAGAGTGCCAAATACCCCCTGGCATTTGGGGATACCATGTAGGCCAGACAATCCAGTGTTGGCTCGCCGCTAACTCACTCCCCATAGTGGCAGTAGCACTGATGCTAGTTTTAGTGGCAACAAAATGTTTGGTTTAACAATTTTTCTTTTGGAAATGCTTTTTCTTTCACACATTAACTGAGATCTAACACATCTCCTCTTTTGTTTGACAAATGAGTAACAATTCACTCGTTCCGCCAAACAGATTTTCAGATTTACATGTATGCTGCAGCACTTTGTAAAGATTTTCAGAGGTATCCCAGGCATAGCTATAGTTGCTAGACAGTGAAGGACCAACTAGGTGAACCAATTTGCTACAGCGCCACCCTAAGGCAGACCAGTGCTTCATCTCTAGTTATTTAAGACTACCAGACAGAAGTTCATTGACTGTGGATGGAGCAGCTAAACAATGACTTTTCCCTAAATTTGTATTTGAGCATCTCTTTTCCACTAACGGACAGCATAAAAGTTTATTATCAGGGACCACTAAGAATTTAGATTTTAAGACATTCAAGGGGTCCAAGAGGTTACTTTGTCGTTACTTCTGTAGTTCTCACCTTGTTTGTGTATAGCATAGAGAGGAGTTCTATGGCTAGAGGGTACCTTTCCCGCTGTTCCCAATGGATAAAGTTCGATGGCAGATGTGGCATAGCGAGACTTGATAGCAGATCTGGATGCAGCAGGGCTTGATGGTGGAGCCAGATTGCTGATGCTCAACAGCAGAGAAGCTGACAAGACAGAAGCTGGCAAGACAAAACCTGGCTAAAGAGAAGCCATGAAAGTGCTGTGGCAAGTAATAATAAAATAAATAAAATGCATATTATCTGGCTTAATAGATTGTGTGTGATGCATTTTTCTATGTGTATTTTGTACAATATTAGGAATTAGTAAAAAAAAGTTGTTATCCTTTGTGTGTTAGAAATAAAGCAGGTGGATAAGGACAGTGATTGACTTGAAATGATTCACAAACTAGTAATCACAATTATCTGTATTTATTTGGGACATCAAGTCAAGTATATGACAGCAGATACGACTCCTTAAAGTGGCCTGTTCTTCATGCACAATAAATTCCCACAACACTGTCAATGCAAGGAAAACAGCTGAGGTGGTATTCCACCTTTAAAGTTGGAGGTGAGCATAAACTAACGAGTGACTGCGAGATATCACATGTACAGGGCAGGGATACCTATAATGTATGATAGTTCTGTAAAGTGTCCCTAATGCGATGCCTGTTAATGTTTCTTTTCGGTTAAAATGCTGCCCAACAAGAGAGGAACCTTTAAAAGCAGTGACTAGTTGGGCAGCTGCCTCCTGAATGGAACGCAATAATGATTGCCTTAATCACCTGTTGACCCAGGGTTTGTCTTTGGCTTTCCCTTAGGCCACTCTAGGAAAATGGATATGCTTACAACATACATACTTTTGAATCACACTTGTCTAGATTTTTAAGGATGGCACTGTGTATTGATTTTTGACATTGAAGTTTATATATTTAGCTGTAGTTTTGTTTGAAAACATGTTTTTGTGTTTCTTTCATCATGAAAAATCTCTATCATGAATCCAAGAAATGAAAATAATAACATAAATAATGATTAGAAAACACACAGGGCTATATAATACTTAAAATACTGATTTACTGTGAAATAATGATCTAGATCAGTAGTGAAAGTAAAAGTAGATTACAATCAGTATAAATGAAAATGAGCATAAATATTGTTTCATGTTCTGTTATTTCATAGTAAGGCATACAGTTACAGCAGGTTCACCCTATTCGTGTGAATAAAACATACAACAATAAGCCATCCATTGCAATTAACACCATAACCACGCCTCCTGTGCCAAGTTCACACCCCCAGTTACTTGGACATAATACTAAGGTGGGTATTTAAAGCACTGGGAGACAGTCATCCTGGCTTTCAGAGAGTGCTGGGAGCCACTAAGCAAGTCATGCAGCTCAGTTTAAGTCTGATGTGGTTTGTATCAATGCTGTGGATAACTGTGTTCAGCCCTGCAGGATGTAAAGCTGACTCAGGCAGCTGCAGACTGTGGGCTCAGTCTCAGTTGTCTGGTCTTTCTATGAATGGAGACTTTGTGATTGGGGGGATTTTCTCCATTCATAGTTACATGAGATCAGAGCAGAACACCTACACCAGACAGCCACCGCAGCCACAGTGCTCTGGGAGGTCTGTTTGTCTTTGTGTGTGTGTGTGTGTGTGTGTGTGTGTGTGTGTGTGTGTGTGTGTGTTGGGGGGGGGGGCATTTCGTTAGAATTATTTGGGAAATTCTTTTCATCCTTATAATGACTTTTATTGCTTCATCAAGCATTTTGCAGTTACATATTTGCTGTATTTATTGATGGTACATGAAAACCTCCAAGCTAGACTTTAGAAACGTTTTTACATTTTTATCTGTTTTAATGTCTCTAAACAGTATGGATTTTAGGGAACTGCGCTTCGCCCGTGCCATGGAGTTCGCCATTCACGAGATCAACAACAGAACAGATCTCCTGCCGGGAATCACGTTAGGATACCAGATCCACGACTCGTGCGCTGCAGTACCGATGGCAATCAAAGCTGCATTTCAATTAGCGAACGATGTGGAGTCAGTTTTCAACGACACTGATTCCTGTTTAAAATACGCGGCCGCTGCTGTATCTGCTGTCATAGGAGAGTCTGGCTCCACACCTTCAATTAGTATGGCCAGAATGCTGGGTCTCTTTGGAATTCCACAGGTGAATGCAGTAGGCTAAACCATTGTGTCGTATCACGAAAGTCAGTCCATTTTTCAGAACGATGCAGCTTCTGAATAATGATGCATAAATGGTCCCACAGATTTTAGCCTGTTGTTAGTTATGTATGCTACTTCTTTGTAGGTGTGATGTGCAGAGGTGAAAAAAGTCAATGAAAATATGGGTGTTTAGGTGTATTTCAGTCCTTCTCCAAAGACAAATTTGCACAGCCTAGCTGTGAACAGATATTGCACAGTTATGGTTATATTACATTGCTATGAATTAGGCTGGATGTTTTAAGAAGAATAATAAGTTAAGATGTAAATTTAAAAATGTAATTGCGTAAAAGTATTCAACTTTAGTAAAGTGAAAGTCTTCCTAAATAATATGTAGATATAGTAATTAAGCATAAAAACTTGGAAATAGTATTTCACACCCCAGTAATATAATAACTGCAGACCTATATTCCAAAATAAGTTAAACAGGGATTACTAACGCTTCTTTTCTTTCGCTGACTAATAACACACCCAAAAATGAATCAACATATTTTCAGTTACTTGGACTTGCAAACTGAAACTACATTAATATTAAATTATTATGTTGTCTTTAAG